ATCTCTGCCCTGTCTACCAGGCCACATACTCTTACTCAGCATATTCTTGTGTAAAAACTAGATGCAACAGCAGAAAACCAAAACCTGTAAGTCACTTGTAGGAGACTCTGGGGTGAGTTAAGGCGGATTTCAGCCAGCAGCAGTGCACTGAGTGCTGCCCTTCCCCGAGTTCCCTCCTCCCTTCTGCATCCCAACCTCTTCCACATTGACGCAAGAGCAGAGCATGGGGGGAGCAGTGGCATGAAGGGGTGGGGGGATGTCCATAAGAGCAAGCCCCATAACCAATACCCTTCCAGACTACGCTGGCAGGCTGACTCTTCTTGTTCCCCAGCAGCTAGTTGTCTCCTTGCTGAAGCCTCTCTGTAAACATAGGCAGAAAAAGCTGTGCTAGATCTCCTTATGATTTTTATCTGAAAGTTTGGGAAAACTTGATTTTTCTCTACTTAGCATAAGTTTGGAATGTGTGTGTATGTTGCTTTGGGGTTTTGGGTCTTGATATATTCACTTAAACTGAATGTCTGACAGTTATTTGGGGGTTAATTGAGGGTTTTCATATTAGGTCCAAATAAAGTCATCTCTTCTCTGGCCATCTGTAAAAGGAATAAAACCTCAGCCTTGAAGGATTTGCTTTAGCAACTAGATATTAATAGCAATTAAAAAAAACACCTTTAAAGTTGATTTTAGTTTTGTTTGGGTTTTTTTTAGGTGTGGAAAATACAGACCTTTTTCACTAATCAAGCCCTATATACATAAACTGTTGCCTAGTTTTTTACTAGATGGTTTGGGACTTCAGGATAATTTTTACAGGCTGCTGTTTAATTTTGCTGCTTTTTAACTGCTACTGCAACAAGAGAGATAAAAGCCACCTTCTTAAAAACCTGGGTGCCTGAATAGCCTTGTTTGTAAGCATGTTAATGTAAGATATCGTTACTATATTATGACAGAGGGCTTGCTAGTATTATTAGATCTGACTGAGGTGCAACAAACTTGGACCTAAACCAGTCTTGCAGAGTCGGCGTCTGCCTTACTGTGCTCTGCAGCACTTTCTGTTACAGCGTTGAATGTGGGAAAGATCTCCTGTTGCTTACATTAATGGTAGGGTGTTTGTATGCAGGAATAAACTTGACTGGGGAGGATGGGTTTGATTTTTATTTTGCTCAAGTTAATTTGCAAGCACGACACCACTCTTAATTCTTATTTATAGCTTGTTTGTTGTGTGGTAGAGAGAACAATTATTGTCACGTGTATGACAGTGTTGGGAAATCAGAGTGTTTACAATGCATGGAGTTAAAATAGTTGTATTTTTACTATGATTTCATAGTATTTGTTCATTGTTAGTCTGAAAGCAGAAGGAGATGCGGGTTTATATTCAGGCTCTGAGCTCTGCATGTGCAAAACTGCATGTTGGTTTTGATGTTGCTGGTATGGGGAGTTACTAGAAACAGCCTGAAACTTAGAGCCGAGCCAGCTGAGGCCAGGATGTGGATGGGTAGTTGGGAGAGGGTGAGGGGATGAATAGTGATGATGGTGAAGCAAGTGTTTTTGATATTTATTTACTATATTTTACAATAAAGCTAATTCTAGGTCAGATTCTGGTCTTGTGTTTTACAAAAGCTTCCTCAAGCTTATCTAAATTTGACCCAAGCCACTTGGAATACAAAGTCTCTGAGAAGCTTTTTTCTAGTGAACCTGAAACTGCTGAAATGTCGCTGTATTTATTGATCTTTATCTAAAAAAAAAAAAAAGTTGCTAGTTGCAAGAAAAGGCTGCTGACTTAAAAGCCTGTCTCAGATCGCGCATTTGGCTGGAGGCCAGATAACGAGTTTCTATAGGACCTTGTTGGCAAGCTTGGGTTAATCTAATGTAACTGTAAGTAATCTGGGAGCCTGGTACACTCAAAACAATTTTTAGACAAAATGATCTTACTGTTTTTAAATTATAACTGAGCAGATACTTTTATATAACAGCTTCTTATACTTAAAGCACTTAAAAAAAATGCCTAGGAATATGATTCTTTACTATTTCCTCTTTTAATGGTCAACCTTCTGAATAATACTTTAAAATATTGACACTGATGGCACCTCTTTTTGCTAGCTGCTGTGTTACCGAATGGAAACTGTGTTCAGTGGAGTGATCTGTTAGTGCTGCAAAGAAAGGTTTGCATTTTTAAAAGACCAGGTGGTAACACACTTAAGGGTAGGCACATCAGTTTTACTAGTAAAAAATATCGTAAGTATGTTCTTGGGTACATCTGTCGGCCAGGTTATTCTGTGACTAGGGCTGAAATGCATGGACCATCCTAGGAGGAGGCTGGAGTTCGGGACGTTGTGTTCCCAGCGGCGTCCAACCCTGGCAGTTACACCGCTGGGCCTTTTCACCGGCCTCATGGGTCTTTCATTCTTCGTTGCCTGAAGGCAAAGCTTGAAGAGAAGGGCTGGAGATTGCTCTGTCTCAAGATGTTTTTGTTGCCTCTCACTTCTTTTGTGTGATAAGTGAATGTGAATCCACTCTAAGGGGAAAACTGAATTCAGATCTTGAAATGTCCACTGAACTGCTGTATATGTCAGGCTATAAAAAGAGGTCCAGATCCAGCCCTGGTCTGTGAGGAGCGGTGGATAAATGCGGCTTTAACAGGAGAACGCTGGGGTCTCCTGATTCTGCCCAGGACAGCAATGCTCATCTGCAGCCTTAAGTTAACTGCTCCGTCCGTAAGAGGGATGGAGAAGGCTTGGGATCATGCTTGTCCTCCGTTGGTGTGGGCTGATGAGTGCCGACCAGAAAAGGGATAGCACTCTACCATCCTTATTATTTCTTCGTATAGCTGTATCATTAGTGACAGCATGGATGATGAACAAACAGGGTTTGGTTTACAACTGCTTTGCTGTAGGTCTGACTTACACAGTATGTAAAACTGGTTGAACATGGATGAGATCTTTGAGATGGGAGGCAGCGTGATACAGTTGTGCCGGTGCATATCAGAGGTTTAAACTTCCCTGATAGCGTTTGTTCTCTAGTTGCTATTAATAGTGAGGCCTAGAGATATTTCTGGATGTGATAGCTGACAAGTTTCTTCATCAAATAGTCAATGAATGAGCAAGAAGTGTTTATATTTTAAACTTAGCTTTGGAAAAGAAAAGCTGTTCATAGAAAATAACCTTGGTGTGAGTTACTGCAGGTGATTCTCTCTAAGTGAAATATTAAACACAGGGCTGCAACTTTAAGCGTCTCTGATAAAGGAAGAGTTTTGTGGGATATTTTTGCCAGCTGCACTATAGGGGATTTGTATTAGTTTCAAACTAATGTGTTTAAGTGAAGGGTGCTAATAAACTTTGGCAGAGGTGCAAACTGTGGCAGATTTTGAAGGGAATGATCTGGTTTGAACTTGGTGTGAATAGTCACTGCCAAAGCGTTAGGGTAAGCAGAGAATCCTCAGGGAAAGACGAAGAGCTCTGTTGAAAAGATGTTTGTGTTGGGAGGTGAGAATTGCCTCAAGTGCAAAGGCTGTGGGAGCCAGTAGCAAAAGGCTCTTCTTTCTTGCTCTTTATTTATATGCCTGAAGTGATGCATGTCTAGATCTGCCTTTTGCTTTTTCATCTCACGCCAGCGCCTGGGATGATGTGCCATGAAGTTAAGCATGTTTTTTAATGAAGAGGAGGGCGATGTTGATCATAGGGAATAAAGGATAGTAACAGGAACAAGTGCCTCAAAATAAATTTTTACCACTGCAAAAGTCCATTTGGGAGGGCGTTGTGGCACCCTCCAAATGGAACGCTCTGAGCTGAGGAACAGAGTTTGTAGGAGAGAAAATTGTGTCTCGTTTGTTATAAACTGCCAGAACGGTAGCTTGCTGGAGTGACAGGATCAAGGAACTAAGTTGTTTTTTGTTTTTGTTTTTTTTTGAAGAGATGGAGCTTGGGTACAGAGTGTGATACGTGTAGAGCATTGAATTAGAGCGATTCGGCGGATCTGGTTTAAGTCAGAAATGATACAGTGCAGTGTCTTGGAAAGCTACCATTACAATGAGTTTACATACATTAATTAAGCTTTCTTCTGTTGTCTTTTAAAAAGCAAAATGCTTCTCCCAGTACAATTTATGATTTATAATTTAAGTGTTGCTCATGTCAAATACTGACTCTGGAAGTGAAATGTCCTGGGCATTTCTCGTTCCTCCAGATGCCGTGGCACCTGCATGTTCTGCAAAAATACTGGCTGCGCTGTTTCTCTTACAGTAAAGTTTTGGTCATGCTGTTTTTAAAAAAAAAAAAAATGTGAAAGCATCACTAATAAAGTGATGATTCTTTGAGTCTCAGAGGGAGTAATAGAAATCTAGCAAAGGGTATACAAGACTGTCAGTAGTGGTAATTTTAAGGATCTTGGCAGTGCATTTGAATGTGGTTTCTGGTTGATTTCAACAATCTCTAGTTTTTAGTGGGATCTTCTGCATGGATCTGTCTGGTGGCTTTCTTCAATAAACCCTTGGTACTTTCTGTTTTCTTAGCCTGAAGCAGTAGGGAAATATGATAGCCTCGCTACTCTTTTGCACCAGTTTTTCTGGGAATTTAAAGATTGGTTGTGAAGCTTAGTGGATTTTCATGTCTTTGATTAGAAGTATCAGCAAGTTGAAGAATGTGGACTTAGCAGCTAAACTCTTTTTGTTTCAAGTAACCTGTTAGGAACTGACTTCCTAATCTATCTTTGGAGTGCAGGTTGTTAGCTTGTGCCCATTCTGACTTGCGTTAAAAATAGCCATGAGAAAGAGGCCATAATAGTGTGGGAAGATGGTAAATCATCAACTACTGAAAAACAAACCATGCATCTGTTACACTGTGGAAAAAAAAAATGCCTGTTAAAAAGCTAAGCTGCAGCATCTTTTTCCTCCAGTGGCAGGAAGGCCCTTGAAAGATGGTTAGAAGTAGTTAGTGATTAGAATGCGTGTTTAGGTTTAGGTTTGTTGCAAGCTTTCTAAAGTACTCTTGATGTCTTGTTTCTTGCAGAGACTCCAACCGTCATGTTAAGGTAAAGCAGAAAAGTGCAGTGCTGAACATGCTAAAGAAGTTGGACAAAATAAGGTTCAGAGGTCACAAGAGAGATGAGTTCCTTGATTTAGCAGAGTCTCCAAATGCTTCAGACACTGAATGTGGAGATGAAATTCCGGTGAAAATACCTCGAACATCAACTCGAGACAATGAAGAGCTGAGAGACCCTGTAAGTACTTGATTTAAGTATTGTTATATTATGTTATATACTTGTCAGGCAGGAAAATAACAGAAATTAATAATTCTTTGTCCCTGTATTTTGGATTTAACACTTGAAGATTTGTGGACTAGGAAGTAAGCGTCTAGTAATAGGCTTACATTTTGTGGAATTTCTAGTATTAGGGTTCCCTGTCCCTACTATGGATTTTAGATGTTGTGGGTTGACAGGTTTTTTAACCTTGGATGTGCTTCTGAATGCTGTCTATTTTTTGTTTGTTTTGTTGAATTACTAATGAACAGATCTGAAGGAAAGACTTCTTTTCAGTCTGAGAAGCTCAGGTCTGCTGAAATGGCATGGGCCAGGACTGTAAGGATATGACTTCTGGTGGCTTCATTAGAGTTAGAGGGTCACACCACCTTGTTCTTCACTGTAGTGTTGTATCCAGTAATGCTTCCATGCTATAGGGCTGGTTTAAACCTATGCAGGAGGTGAGCAAGACTCTTCAGGTGCTAAAACTTTTTGGTGCTTGTAAGCAGAAGCACTCAAACAGACCTACCTTTTTAAGACACTGTTTCAGGAAAAGTTAAATATTGGTTAAAAAAAAGATAAAAATCCTGGTTTAACTGTTAAAAAATGGCTGTGGATCCTTGAGCATGGAGTGCTACAATCTAAATTACAATTTGTCCATTTAACTGTAGTCTAGAATGTGACTTGGAAGGCAGAATTTGTACCACCCTATTTGGAAACTCACCATGCAATTTTTATCCCCAAAATGCGGTCAGGCTGTTGTCTGAAAGCTCATTTCTAGAAGCACGGGTCTTGCTCACTGTAAGTGTTAAACTAAAAAACTTCAGACTGTATATGCTTAAGCATTTCCTTTGGGGTTGGCAGCTTGTATCCTGTTCTGTAGCTATTAGGTTTTTTAAATTTAAGTGGGCTTATATGGAGCTCTTTTGCCAGAATTTTTTTCCTATGATCATGGAGCAAACAAGTGGTAATGACAGGGCATTTTTCGGTCACAAAAAGTCTATTGTATGCAAATCCTCAAGCTCCTCAGACAAGGAACGTCTGTTGAATGCCTTTCCTTTGCTCTTATTCTACTGAAGAACTCTGTCATTTGTTAGTTGTCTACGTATTGTATATACTGGGACTAATCTGTGCTGCTGGCCTTCCAACATGGTATTTTCTGAGTTTTTTGTAGGTAGATACTGGCTTATTTTCATTAAACTTAGGGCATTATATTTATGCGTGGAGAGCAGGGAATACCCTCTGTATCTCATCAGAAACATCTGGATGGCAGAGCTAGAGGCTATAGAAAGATCTGTCTTAAACCCTAGATGCTATTTTCTGTATTTCTTCAGGAGGATAGTAGCTCCAGGATGGTATGGCTGAGGGAATAGAGAGGTAAACCTACAGCTTTGACTAGTTATAAAGCCTTACGGCTACACATCTGCAGTGATGGTCTCTGTTTTCTCAAATTGTTGAGCTCTATGTGCTGAGAAGGTAATTTGAGGAGAAACACTGTGCTTTCTGGCTGACTATGAACTGTTAAGTAGGCTGTTATGATGTAAGTCCTTGGGATACAGTTGAGTATAGTTCTTTAAAAACAGCGAGAAAGGAGTAGAGGAAAGCAGCAACAGCGTCAGACTTCTTGTTTTGCCCTGCTCCCAATGTTTGGGAGCTCCAAATGCAGTGTGATGCTGGAACAGCCTAAGAGCAGCAGCTGTGTTACAGATACGAGCAAAATAAGCAAACTTCTATGAGGAAAGAGGTCTGACGCATAAGGGATAAATTTCAGATGGGAAGTTTAGGGGATTAGCACTTGGCCCTCACAGACATCTGCCCACTAAGCGCTGGTGCGCATCCGTAAAACGGAGAAGAAATAATTCCCTGTGCTGCAGAGGTGCCGGGAGTAAAGAAAGTAATGCTTGTATATTTAAGTCAATATTAAAATAGTGGCTGAGATCGTGTGAACAGGGTGATTCTGAATTACAACTCTGTTTCTTACTGAGATCACATGGTTGAATTGTGCCTGAATTGTTTTTAATTCAGTAACTAAAACTCAAATCTTAAATTGCTTATACAGGGTGGTTTTCTTTTATAGGCTCTGTAAGCAACTTAGTGTTATACTTTTATTACATTGATCATGAGAAGACCAAGCCTTGTTGGTTTCTTCCTGTTTAATACCTTTGGGGAACTGTTGAAAGCATACAAAAGTCAATTTGGGGAACTGTTGAAAGCATACAAAAGTCAATGCAAGTCTTATGCATAGATTGAAGTTAGGCTGCATGTCTTTTCAGATAGATGTGAGCTGTACTATGCTTCTACTTCTGTTGCTTCACTGTTTCTATTAAAATCTGAGGACAGAACTGGTGGGCTTGAAAGAGCAAGATTGGTGGCTTGGAACTGAGCGTAGGCATGCAAAATTTGAGTCCTGGTCCCCTTATCTGCATCTTCAATACATGGATGTCTCTGCCTCCACTGTCAGCCATTCCCTTGACAAAGGCTTCATCTCCGACCCTCTCTACTTCGTTGTTTGGTTTTGTTTGCTCCTCCCCTCCTCTGGTGTAATCATTGTGGAGCCATTAAAGAAAGATCTTTGTCTATTAGAACACTACAGCACAGTCATATGAATGAAAGGCCCTTCTGTACTGTGCCTCAAGGGTATGTAGTGCACTTAGAAATGTGCACATTAGGTGCCTTTTCTTTATGTGTATGTCTGAACTTGACAAGCATGTGCAAAAACTTGCCACAAATGGAGGGTTTAGAGTAAAAAGCCATGTTATAAAAGCTTGTGATTGCAGAACCCTGACCATCTGCAAAGAAGAGCATCCTCTGTTGTACACCTCCAACAAGTGAAGCGAACGGTCAGTCCCAGGCCACAGATACAGCAATGGGACTTAGTCCCAACACTTCACATGTCTTACTGAAGTAGCACCTGCAAAATTTATACCCCGTGGAAGGACAGAAAGGATGGCCAGATGACGTCATCTTATATTCTTTATCTTAAAACTGTGAGGTTTACCTGTTTGGTTCAATAATAAGCATCCTAACTCGTGTTTGGGTAGAGCATACAGCTAGCTCCTGGTGGGAGAGCCTTGAGGTTGGAAAGATTTGTTACTTTCCTTTGAATTCTCCTCAATGATTTCTGAAACTTTTTGTTCAAAAGGTGTGTTACTCTTAATTTGAGCTAGTTTGGTCTCAACTTACAGGCTGGCTTTTGGCTTGCGTGGGTACTTTTCCCCCTCTCATTTAAGTGCCCTGATTACCAGGTATGTCTTGGATAGCAGGTACTTTCTTAGGTCTCTGGGTGTACTTGGACACTGTGATCAAGTCGTTGCCAAGACAGCCATGTTGGTTAACAAATTAACTCTTTGCTAAGCATCTCTCTCAGTTCCTGAATGGCTTCCCAGATTTCTTCCTCCCTTCCCTCTTTACCATAGGTGGTTGGCTGTTTTTTTTAAAGGACATTCAGCACTGTATGCAGCACTGTTATTTCTGCATTGCTTTGTAAAAACACCACAGTCACAAAGGTAGAGGGGATAACCTTTCTATTCCTATTTCCTAATAGTGGACGTATTAGCATTTGTCTTGTTGTGACATTGGAAATTCAGGTAATGTTGGTTGCTCGGTAATTGAAGTCCCCTTTATTCAGTGCCGTAATGGTTCTGTAGATGCAACATGGCTTCCTTCCTGATAGATCACAATTCTGCACCTAAAAAAGCTTTAAAACATTGCTCCGGCAACTTGATTTGCTAAGATGCAAATGTTCAGGGGTGGGGACTGTGCCCTGAAAATCATAGATCACCCGTGTATTTGCCAGTTCTGGCTTGATTTGCCTCATTTTAACTTATGTCCTGTCATTTTGTGCTCTAGATGAATTTATGTACTCTTAATGTGACAGATGTCCCGTTTTTATAAAAGGGAGAAAATGTTCAGTACTACATACAGGTATATGAATGAACTCAGTTCAGAGGAAGATCACATCCCCTTCGGCAGAGGGGGGAAAGAACAAATTTGTGTTTAAACCTGTGGAAATTCTGCACTAACCTGGCAGCGAGCATTGCAAATCAAAGCTCTCTCGTACCTGGCATATTGTACTGAAAGCAGTCTAACCTACTTATGCAAGTTCCCTGCCAGTATGCTAGGCTTAAATCTGAGTTATTGTGGTACAGAAAACATTAATTTAATTGCTGTTCCAGTACAATTTGGCTTTTCCTGAAACATGTCAATTAAAACCTTAAACACTTCTGTACTGGTCACCTCATTTACAATGATTGGAAGGTATAAAGCATGATGCTTGGAAGGTATAAAGCATGATGCAAGCATTACAGTTAAGTTATTAAAGTCTCTAAACCTGGCTAGCACTAGATTTTTTTAAATTTATGTAAAATATAGCTATGTTTTAGGAGCTTGCCAATATGGGTACGCTTCCCAGAATTGCCACTAAGGATAACTATTCATGCAGATGATTTCGTTCTTGAGCAGTGCTGTTGTGTTTTCCCTTTCCTTACAGCAGGTAACTGCAGCAGCCATGAGGAACCCTTTCGTAATTTGAAGTAAGAAAATGCACATGAAGTGTCAGTTGAGAAACTCGTGAGACTATGACCTTTCTAGACAAGCTCTGTAGTTTGTTGTATTGCTGAAGAATCATAGAATAGTTTGGGTTGGAAGGGACCTAGTCACCTAGTCCAACCCCCCTACCATGGGCAGGGACACCTTCAACTAGATCAGGTTGGTTAGAGCCCCATCCGACCTGACCTTGAATGTTTCCAGGGATGGGGCATCTACCACCTCTCTGGGCAACCTGTCCCAGTGTTTCACCACCCTCATGGTAAAAAATTTCTTCCTTTTAGCTAGTCTGAATCTACCCTCCTTTAGTTTAAAACCGTTACCCCTTGTCCTATCATTGCAGGCCCTACCTGACTTTTATTTTCCGCCCTTTGCTAGTCAAATGAATGCAAGTTAAAATTTTGTATTTTAAACTACCTCTTCCCTGTGTTGTGTCCGAGCCACCGCCGGGCCCTGAGGAGTGCCCTGGGGCTTGGCACGCCGTGTCCTCGCTGCTCCCTATCCTCTGCGTTTGAGAATTGCTCCTCTCCGAGTTTATTAAAAACTTGGAAATGAGACCAGCATTTTGTTAGATATTCCTGGAGAAAAATCATCTGTGTATGATATTGTGCAAGTAAAATAAAAGGAGGGAGTTGGCCAGTTATGTTTCTGTGTGATGCTGAAGATATGCTGTGCTGCAGATGCAGAGGACAGATCCTCATCTGCTCGGTTAAGAAGTGACTTAGACCTTTTCCATGGCTGTATAGTGAAGGTGGCATCGGTGCTCAGTGCACGAAACAAAATCCCAGGGCTTGCAGGATGAAGGGGGTTTTGGGAGGGAGGGCATAGAGCTCTCAGGTTGGGAGGTGCTGTTATGAAAAGCCTGAACTGCAGATGGCTTGAAAAACACTTTTGTGGGTAGATGTGGTTTTTCAGATCCGGAGCTCGATGTGGCTTGGAGCAGCAACTCTGAACTCTGATAGTGGGTTAGAGGCAATCTGTCGTCATCAGAAATCTTCCTTTAACCCCTCTGGCTCTGACTCTCCGTGCTCAACTCTGGCATTTTGCTGGCTTCCTAGGCACCACCAAGCCTTGTGCGCGGTCTTCGCTAAGTAATGGTGATTGTCCACGTTTCAAGAGGGCTCCTGTGTCAAATACTGTCAAAGCTAGAGAGGCAGAAGGAAAAGCAGAAATCTGTGGAAGCCTTCAAGGCTTTTACTGTGAGTCAGAAGCAAGAAAGGGCATCTGTAGTTAAGTTAAAAGTGTAGTTAATCCAGCCTGAGTCCCAGCATTAGCCTGCAGAGGCAGCAGAAGAAAGAAACATTACCCAGTTGACGCTGGAATTAATACAAGAAAATTTTTTTTTTTTTGTTAACTTGTGAGTTGAGTCAGTTATGCCAACTTCAGACAGAGGTACTTTTTGAATTCAGAAGCAAGTGGTTGGCCTCTAGCAGATGTATAGACCTTATTTCTTATCTTTTTAGCCCGTTAATACCTCTTGACTCAACGAGGTGTGTTGGTGTGGGGAAGAACCTTCTGGGACAAAAGAAGCATCTGCTTAAATGTCTCCCATATCACTGTCCTGCGCATACTCAGTTTTCACAACGCTTCTAACTTGTATTCATTCATTCATTATGGTGTCACGAATTTTGGAAATTGCGTGCTTTGTTTCCCACCAAACTTGTATCACTTACTACTATGGTTAAACCATTTTATTATTACACGATAATTGCGTGATCTTGCTCCTAGTATTCTTAGCAAGCAGCCTTATGTTTTAACATAGTGGATATTTTTTCCTTTTTTCTCTAGCTTAGAAGGTGATTGTAACCTTTTGGGTTATTTTAATGACGTGTACCTGCTGATTTTTAACCCATTAACCGATGTCAGATTTCTTGGGTCCAATGCTTTAGCAGATACATACATTGGGAAACTTTCAGAAAGAGTTCTGTTCACCCATATCACTCAGTCCCTAGTCCTAGGCACCTTTTGCTTTTTTCCTGCTTCCTAAGAGGCACAGCCAAGGTATCCTGAGCTTTAATTAATGACTTAACATCTCTGAAGAAGCAAAACTGGAGCTGGTTCTCTCAATAGATTTCTGAAATGTATCTGATCTTTTGGTGAAGTACCTTGAGTATCTTCAATGAGAATGAAAACTTGAATATGCTTAGGTATTTGCTAGCCCTTTTCTTCTTCGTCTCCTCCCTTGCCTCAGTCTCTGTGTTCCAGTCCCCACTGCAGCGTGTGGGGTTGGGGACCAGGGGCTGGCTGGGCAGGAGCCAGCTGTTGTCTTGGGTTGCGGCCAGTTCATCACACGTCTCTGCCTCTCCTTCCTCCTTGCCCTCATCCCCTGCTCCAGCACGGGAGACAGTCCTCCACGAACTTCTCCAGTGAGTCCTTCCCACGGGCTGCAGTTCTTCATGAACTGCTCCAGCGTGGGTCCCTTCCACGGGGTGCAGTCCTTCAGGAAGAAACTGCTCCAGCATGGGTCCCCCACGGGGTCACAAGTCCTGCCAGCAAACCTGCTCCAGCGTGGGCTCCTCTCTCTACAGGTCCACAGCTCCTGCCAGGAGCCTGCCCAGCATGGGCTCTCCACGGGGTCACAGCCTCCTTCAGGCACATCCACGTGCTCTGGCGTGGGGTCCTCCACGGGCTGCAGGTGGATATCTGCTCCACCGTTACCCTCCATGGCTGCAGAGGGACAGCCTGCCTCACCATGGTCTTCACCACGGGCTGCAGGGGAACCTCTGCTCTGGCACCTCTTCCCGCTCCTTCTTCACAGACCTCGGTATCTGCAGGGCTGTTTCTCTCACATTTTCTCACTCCTTTCTCCCAGCTGCTGTTGCACAGCTTTTTCTACCCTTTCTTAAATATGCTATTACAGAGGCACTACCAACATCACTGATGGGCTCAGCTTTGGCCAGCAGCAGGTCTGTCTTGGAGTTGGCTGAAACTGGCTCTGTCCATCATGGGGGCAGCTTCTGACATCTTCACACAGAAGCGCTGGCATTGGCTCTATTAGACACGGGGGAAGCTGCTAGCAGCTTCTCACAGAAGTCACCCCTGTAGCCCCCCTGCTACCAAAACCTTGCCACACAAACCCAATACATGCGCAGAGCCCGGGAGCATTCCTGGTGAGTAGAGCATCTTGCTCTTTGACCTGTATGTGATTTTATTTATTTATCTATTTATTTATTTTTAAGCAGTAGCAGTGTTTCTTTAGACAGCTCCACATGAACTCGTGCGTGCTAGGAGCAGAGATTGTCCCTTTGTACCAGATATGGATATACAATATAGAAAGCCATGCTTTAATGCCTGGGCAGCAATCTGTATTTTAATAACGCTTTCCTTTTGCTGGTCTGTAGAGCATGTTGTAAGGGTGCTGCTGTTCGACTTCAGCCACACCTTCCTCCCTGGGGCTCTCCAAGTGTCTGGCAAGTGATAACACTAAATCTTCCAGCATAAATAAATGCAACCTTGCTCTGTAGATAAGAAGTCAACACAGAGGTTAATTGCCATCCCATGCTCATCTGAAAACAGACAGCTGTAACTCTTCGGCAGTGGCTGGAGTGCTTGCAAACAGCGTGTCTTACTGCACCTCTCTGGCTAAAGGCAGGTGTGAACGGGAGATCGGGAGCGTGGGGAGGAGGATGCTGTGCTGCAGCTCCCCGTGTGAGGACTGCCCTGGGGTCTGTCTGTCTCTGCTATGGCAAGGTTCATGCTGGCTCCAAAATGGGAAGCGGCTCAGGGCTGCTGCTGAGCTGACGGCTTCTGCTCCTCATCAGGGCCGGCAGCGTTGGCAGAGTGCTGTGTGGGTGTAACTGTGCTGCTTTCAGGACTGGAAATAGCATCTCTGCCTGGCACTGTTTCGAGCAAGCCCAGGTGGGGAGTTGGTACCAGGTAAAAGCCATGCAGTAAATGCCTACAGAGTGCTAATTTGCCTGTGTAGACAAATTCTGAGGCTTAAACTCAGCAGCTGTTCAGCTCAAGCAAGAAAACAGATGTTTAATAGGTATCTCCACACTGTTTTATTTTAAAAGTGCATATCATTCCCAACAGTGAAAGTACTTTGCTGTCAGTGAGGTTTCGGTACATCTCTCCTAAACCATAGAAAATGTCTTTTAATTAACTCTCTTGTAAATTAGTTGAATTTATACATGTATGTAATTTAAGCTGTCATAGTTAAATGTATGCAAGCTGACTTTCGAAAGCAATACAGCTCCTGTATGTTTTCGTAGCTCAAATAAGGGGTAGGAGAATGGTTAAGATAGGTAAATAAATCCCGTTTTGTGTTGAGATCACGTCTGAAATGTAGGCTTCTGTAATCTAGCACTTCATTTTGGGTATAAGCTGTTGAAGAAGCTCCTACAATTCTCATTGACAGACTTCTTGTACCTGGTGGGGACTGCACACAGTGCCTGAACAACCATTACCCGGGAGATGCCCTCACCCACCCTTTCTCTTGCTGTCTGAAAATGTCCACTTCATGGGAGGAGGACTGCTGTGTGGGCTTGGGATTTTTCTGTGCTCCCTTCGTGGAGGTGGCAGTTGTCACTGCTCTTAACTAATCAAGTCGCTCTTCAATTCCTGCGTTCTGCGATACTTCTAGTGCTGAGTTCGTTCAAGGGGTGCTGGTAAATCAGTTGAGACACATAATCTCCTGACTCCCCCCTCTCCTGGCCTGCCAGTATGAGCTTCTGGGCACCAGCCACATCCGTCAGCAGTAACTGGGCAGTACCAGAGGTGGGGGAGCAGCGGTTCCTGCACTGATCTTCCTTGCAGAGAGACTGTGCTCTTCAGAATTACACATCCATAAATGGATATTAAAATATACAATATGTGTTTTCTAATAACTTGGTGAGTATCTGGAAAAGTACTACTTTTGCTAGCTGCACAATTTTATAAGTAAAGTATGTTGCATTGACCATTCATTGAATGGGAAGAGGAGCGGGATAGTGTAAATATGCTTTTTAAATCAGCAGAAGAAAGGCTAAATGGTGATGCAGCAGAACTGGTAAGGGGGAGAAAAAAAAAATCTTTGTTTCTGTAACTCCCTCAGGTCTACAGAAGTGCATTTTGTAAACTCACAGGGGAGAGATGCTGTGCATTTGATTAGCTTTCACTCATTTTGGTAGTTTAATGCTGAATAAGAGGTATGCATAGTTGTTGATACTTGCATGTTTCTCACGTGGCTGTTTCTTTACTGTCCCAGAAGTAAGTTGATGTATTTAAATGACAAAAAAAATGTGCCTCTGAGCTGTCAGTGTGTTCTGGCTTTCTTATAGGCTGGTCCAGGGACCATCATCATGGCTTCAGGAGTCCAGGATTTTAACAGAACGGAATCTGACAGACTGAATGAGATTAAAGGTCACCTGGAAATAGCCTTACTGGAAAAACACTTTTTACGTAAGTATAAAATTAATGCTCTGTGGAAAGGAATGGCTTAAGCCTGCTGAAATAAGGCTTCTCTAAACTGCAGAAGTTGGCATCAGAATTTTGAGGTGGATAGCACATAGGCTGATGCGCGGATAGCACGTGGGCTGACACTTCTCTAGGAGGAACTTAAAAGCATTCCCAAGGTTTCTAGGTCACTTGGATATTTTTTTCCTCATTGCATTCCTCAGAACATACCTCACTACAGGACAAAAGCTGCTTAGTTGGAGTCTTAGTCTTGACATCTTTAGGTTATCTTAGAATTAACTCAACCTTAACGTGGTTGCAATAGGTGTTTTTTGTCTAGTAGTAATTGTAAGAAGGAAGAGAATTCTGAAGGGGCGACCAATGCATTTCCTTGGCAGCTGTTTCAACAAGTAATACGTCTTAAAACACATGTGTCTTAACAGTATATGAGTTACTGGTAAGTGGTATAAGAAATACAGATAAGAGTATCTGTAGATTTCAAGTGTTACTTGTTTGATTTTGTGTGTGTGTGTGTGTGTTACGTATATATGAGACAAAATTGTCGTTCATGGCTAGACGCACCCTAAGACTTTTGAGATTTTATCTCAGCATATCTGAACTGCTGACTCGTAAGACAGGATAGTTAAAACTGAAAAATGGGACACAAGCATTCCTTTAACTTTATAGTAGAGATCTCTGTGATAAATCAATGAGAACTCTTGCTCAGTTGCTTCCCAAAATAGTCATTTTAATAGATTATTTTTGAACTTCAGAATATGAGGGTTGTTTTTATGTGTTCGAAGCTTGTCAGATATTTTCTAAGGGGTAGAAATAACAAGGCTATAGATTCTAAACAATTCCTAGATTATAATCTACCAACAAGACTTGTGTTTTATCTTCAGCATATTCTCAAGGATTTGGAATTAATTTTCTGTGACTTTTTTATCATTTGGCAAGACTTCTTTGATTTTTTTTTTTTTTTTTTTTTTTTTTTTG